TGGCAAGATCTTATTCTTCTATAGGGCTAAGTAATATTCCATTATACATAATGGAATATATTTATATATATAAACACACACACACACACACATACACACACATATATATAATGGTATATACAATGATAGATATATAATGGTGTGTATATATATATATATAGTGGTATATATAATGGTATATATATGTGTGTGTGTGTGTATATATATATATATACACACATAATGATACACACACACACACACCATATCTTCTTTATCCACTCATCTGGCAATGGACACTTAGATTGCTTCCATATCTTGGCTTTTGTAAATAATGCTGCTATAAACATAGGGGTGCATATATCTTTCCGAATTAGAGTAGCTACTATTTTTAAAGGCTTGCTTGCTTACTGTATGCAAGACACTTTTCTAAGCCCTCTGTGTGTATTAATTAATTTTATCATTACAACTTTGCCTAGGCAACCGCAGTAGTATTCTTTTTTTGGAAATAACCTACAAAAAAGGTACTGAGAGAATCTGCAGATTCTAGGTATTTTAGAGAAAACAAGGCCAGCAGCTTTCAAACTGTATCCCAGTGGTTGCTAGGAGCCTCGCTCAGAGGTGCGGCTCGTGTGTGGCTGGCGGTAAGACAAAGGCATAAAGTCTCGGATCTCAACCAGGCTGTAACCCCATACAGAGCCTCTTTCAATTGTTTTACATTTTGTTCTTTGACCTGTGATTTAATCTGATCAGAATGATCAAAGAAATTTAAAAGTTTGAAAGCTGCTCCATCAAAAGGAATGAGATCTTGCCATTTGCAACGACGTGGATGGAACTGGAGGGTATTATGTTGAGTGAAATAAGTCAAACAGAGAAAGACATGTATCATATGATCTCACTGATATGAGGAATTCTTAATTGCAGGAAACAAACTGAGGGTTGCGGGAGTGGGGGATGGGGTGACTGGGTGATAGACACTGGGGAGGGTATGTGCTCTGGTAAGCGCTGTGAATTGTGCAAGACTGTTGAATCACAGACCTGTACCTCTGAAACAAATAATGCAATATATGTTAAGAAAAAAAAAAAGAAGAAGGTAGCGGGAGGGGAAGAATGAAGCGGGGGAAATCGGAGGGGTAGACGAACCATGAGAGACGATGGACTCTGAAAAACAAACTGAGGGTTCTAGAGGGGAGGGGGGTGGGAGGATGGGTTAGCCTGGTGGTGGGTATTGAGGAGGGCACATTCTGCATGGAGCACTGGGTGTTATGCACAAACAATGAATCATGGAACACTTCGTCTAAAACTAATGATGTAATGTATGGGGATTAACATAAGAATAAAAAAAAAATCATAAAAATAAAAAAGTTTGAAAGCTGCTGACATAGATGACTTACAAGCCCTGTCTCAAATAGAGGATTTAATGACTACTTCCCTCAGGTTTTTTTTTTTTTTTTTTTGATTGAAAGAGAATTGACATGTAACATTTTGTAAGTTTAAGAGATACAACGTGTTGATCTCCTACATTTATTTCTACTTCCCTCAGTTGTGACCAGTGACTTCTTTCCACCGTCTCAAATTCTTCTTGTCATTTTGTAAACCTTTTCTCTCATGCTCTGCCGAAGTGATGAAGGGGACAGGATTCAGCTGATCCCAGTTGTGCTTCAGGGTAATTTCAGAATTGTGTGTCTGTTTCCCTGTATCTTCTCCTTCACCTTCTTCATGAGAAACATGATCAGTTCTTATATATATATGATATATATATACCACAAAATATATATATATATTATATATATAATATATATATATATCACAAAATATTTTAGGGCTTTAGAATGACTCATACCTATCTATACTATTTGACACGTGAGTGAGTTGGTGATTCCACCATTAGAAAGATCTGCATTTTACTGTTGGCATTCACTGTTAAGGTTTATTTTGCCAACTTAATACTGTTTTTGAAGAATGATGCTTATTTTTGTTCACATTTAAATGGTCCCAGTCAAAGTTAATGGAGCAGATCTGACTAGGTAAGTGAGATAGGCACTTGGGAAGGATCATTTGTAGCTTTTCCAGTCCAATTTATTGAACTGGAAAAGTAATTTACTAAGTGTAATGTAGAGGCTAGAAAAAATTTATTCCAAACCCCACCAACACTATGCCTTGAGACTATAGCTTGGTTACTTTGTGGGGTCTAGTACATTGCTTACTGTAACAATTTATTTTGATATCTTAAAGATTTGTTGTTCTGTTGGAAAAAGCAATAGGCTAAAACTAGATTTTTTTTTAATATGTATCAAATGCATAATTGGAGAAGTAAGTCAGGTAGTTATTCACATTCTAGTATAAATAGCTTTACAGTGATTTCTTCTTTCTAGAAAGGGAGGGTTTTTGTTTTTTTTTTTAAGATTTTATTTATTTATTTGAGAGAGGGGATGAGAGAGAGCATAAGCAGGAGGGAGGAGCAGAGGGAAAGTGAGAGGCAGACTCTCCAGTGAGCAGGGAGCCTCATGTGGGGCTTGATCCCAGGACCCTGGGATCATGACCTGAGCTAAAGGCAGACACTTAACCGACTGAGCCACCCAGGCGCCCTGAAGGGGAGTTTTTATTTGGAATTGTTGGAAGGGGTGCATGATCATTGTGTAATGGATTCTTCCTGGAAGAACTCTGCGATGGATGGGAAAAGAAATTGTTAGCACCGAAGATATTCTTGGTTTCCTTATATATATATTTTTTCCCAAAGAAAGTGTCATATTGTTGCCATTTCCAAAGAATTCCTTTTGACAAGTTTAGAAACCAGTGAGTCTGCTACAATTTTCCCACCCTATGGTTCACTGAGGGTCTTACCATCTGCCAGATATTATGCTAAGCACACTATATACGTGGTATTTGTTTGTTTATTTATTTATTTATTCATTCATTCATTTATTTATTTATTTAAAGTAGGCTCCTCGCCCAACTTGGGGCTTGCATTTACTACCCTGAGATTAAGAGTCACATGCTCTACTGACTGAGCCAGCCAGACGCCCCCCGTGTACGGTCTTATTTAATCTCCACTCTAGCATTATGAGTTACACGCTACTTACCAGGTTCTAAATGGTGCTTATTCTGCACTGTGGTAAGCATTTTAGACATTTAATTAATTAATTAATTAATTAATTAATTAATTAATTTTTAAAGATTTTATTTATTTATTTGACAGTGAAAGAGACAGTGAGAGAGGGGACACAAGCAGGGAGAGTGGGAGAGGGAGAAGCAGGCTTCCCGCGGAGCAGGGAGCCTGATGCGGGGCTCGATCCCAGGACCCTGGGATCATGACCTGAGCCAAAGGCAGACGCTTAACCGACTGAGCCACCCAGGCACCCCGCATTTTAGACATTTTAACTCAACCTTCACCACAGTCCTCGGGTATAGGTACTATTATCTCCCCATTTTACAGGTACAGAAACTGAGATACAAAGAGATGAGCTGACTTGGCCGAGATCCCACAGCTAGTAAATTGGGAAGAGCTATGATTTATGTTCAGGCATTCTAGCTCCAGAGACAACACTCTTAACCACTGTTGTGTGCGATATTATCTTTATCGGTGAGGAAATAGTAGAAGGACAGAGAATAATAACTCTCCCAAAGTCACCTGGGCAATAAATAATGGAGAGAGGGGGACTCAGATTCAGGCAGCCCATAAAACTGTGTAACCTATAAGTCTCACCCCTTCTGCCATCTTGCACATCTTCTCTGCTTTGATCATTCAGTCTTAAAGCCACTTCAATACAGATATCACTGTGGCACTTAAGAAAAGTAATGATAAGAATAGAAAGGGAAGAAATTAGCTTTATCATTTATTCAGTTTACTGCCTAGCTTAATTTTGAATAGATTTTGGATTGCGGTTTGTCATGAAAGGGTTGAACCTTCCCTTTGAATTGCCAGCGTCAAAGACGACCTTGACTTCATATAGCACAGTGATTCTTAATCTTTAATGAGCCGCCCGAAGGTCTTGCTAAAATGCAGATTTTGATTCAATAGGTCTAGGATGTGATGCTGATGCTCCTGGGACATGATCCATGCTTTGAGTCACAAGGCTAACACAGTGTTTTCAAACTGAGCATAAAGATGTATCTCAGGGCCCAGAGTTCACATTGGAAGGAGGGAATTTTCATAGATGGAAGAACATGTACAGAGTTTGGTGATCAACACCGGGGAGCGGGGGTGGCTCATGAGATAAGACCTGAGCTACCTGACTCCCGGGATTGGAAGGGACCTTAAGGGTCTCCTGCTCCAAACATCCAGCTTGACGTTTGAATCCTCTTATATCCCTGCCAGGTCATTTCACTCCCAGAGTTAAGGAATTTTCTGTGCTGAGTGAAACTAAGAGAATTTTAAGATGGTGCCTGAGTCACAGAAACAGTCCAGATGAAGGGCTCTGATGTCTCCTACCTCTCCAGACAGACATTTGCCGCCATAATACATTTTCAGAGCCTTTAGGTATTTCTTCAAAAGCTTTCAAACCTTACCATTTCCTGATAAAAACAATGTACTCTACCAGAGAACCATCTGGGAGTGCTTATTTCCCCAAGCATCTGTGTCCCACTCTGAAATAGTGATTTCAGGGCTGACTGGCAGGTGAGAAACAGTGACAGATGTCTGGCAGCTGGGCTCCTTCTTGGCTGTGCTGACGATCTGTGCCAGGGCCCTTGAGAAAACATATTTTCCAGAATCAAGAATCCTGCGACCATGAATGGTTTCTTCTCATTTTGATTTCACGACCTGAACCCAAGGCTCCTATGGTCAGGTCTTCTGATTGCGGGGGAAGCCAGCTTCTCCTTTCGTCTCTCCTCCTGCAGGCTGTGACTTGACAGCGCCCTGTTTTCTGTTCCAGGTGCCCGGGGAGAGTGAGAAGCAGTGGAAGCCGGCACTGGTCGTACTGACCGAGAAGGACCTTTTAATCTATGACAGCATGCCGCGGAGGAAGGAAGCCTGGTTCAGCCCAGTTCACACGTACCCTCTTCTTGCCACCAGGTAGCCTTGGCCTTGTGTTTGAGTCTGATGTACTTGCAGTTTGAGACGGTTCTGGTCAATTACAAGTATTTCAGTACATTATATTCCTGCGTCCTGTTGTGTCAGGAACTGAGAACTCCCCCAAAATATAGCCACACATTTCTATCCGGATAGGTGATTTATCATTGACAGCCCGGCATGGGGCAACACGGACCCAAAGAACAAACTGCTTCTCCATCGTGAAGGAACAGTGACATCTGGGAGATGGTCCACACCCCGTCACCCTCCTGGGTCTCCACCCCAGTTCCTTTGAGAGGAACTATGCCCATGCGTTTACAGTCTTGAAATTCAGGTAGAATCGTCAAGCAAGGGCCTTCACTTGTGGCACAGGGATTGTCATATGGGAATGTACTATTACTGTGCTTTTTACAGTTTGCTTGGCGCGAGACCCCATAGCAAGTTCTTCCTCGGTTGTTGGTGCTTCCTGTGGAAATGGGGCTGCCAGGGTCTGTCTGTTTCTTAGGACCTTCAATGCATGTTTATTGTTCATGTGACATTATTTTAATGCATCATGTGCTTATCCTCTTTTTGAAGGTCTTTATTCTGAGCCCAAAAGCGCACCAAACCTGAGTCTTGATCCAAGTAGTTGACAGCTCCCAGACTTGGCTCCTGTTGCCATCTCTTTCTGTATGTGCTTTATGATTCTGGACACAGTTTTCATTACTCCTCTACCTCTCCTTCCTTACCTAGAAGGTAGGCATGCTAACGTAACGTTTATGGCCTCCCTGGCATCGTGCTTGGTGGTATGGGGCCCTAAAATGCCTGTGAATGAATTACTGACCAGTGTGGCACAAACTCTGGAAGAAGTTTGGGACAACAGACAGAAAGCATAGAGGACTGAGGTTTGGGGGCTTCTGTCCTGAGCAAAAGATAGAAACAAGATGGGTTCTCCATTCTGAAGGAACTGAGGTGCCAAATAGGTTACAGCCAAGGCTCGGGTGCAGGGAAGAGAATGAAACCCAGGAACAGAACAAGAGGAGACACGAGATTAAAATGGCAATGGTGTGTGGAGCTGAAACTCCTTTCAAAGCCCTCTTACGTCCACGTATGGTGATTATGGAGAACAGCAAGGGTGACCTGAAGAAGAAGTGATTATCGGCCCCAGAGGTGAATAGAGGAGGAGGCCTTCAGGGTCAGGGATCACACCTAGAGCATTTAGATACAAATAAAATGAAATAACAAAACAGTAGTTTAATTTTTGAGTATCCTAAGCCTTAAAATCTTTGGCAGGGTAGCTATGAAAGCACTATTGATGTTTGCAATAAAATCTCAATAATCAGAAGCCAAACATCCTAAAATGTTCCTGTGGAGCTTCAGGCTGTGTCTTGGGGTCCATTCAAATTCATCTCAGCCTCCATCACGTTCCACAGCCCTCACCCACTAAGCAGAGAAATTGGACTCAGGCCTCTTAGACTGATTTTCGGGAACAAAAGTCTATGTAAGGTGAAGTTTCTAGGTAACTCTCAGGCAACTTGAAAATAAAACTTACCTCATGCATAGCCTACTCGGAGTTTCTGAGCGTTCTGACATGGAGGCTGCCTTTTTATTCATGCATGCATGCATTCAGGATTTTAAAAAACTCAGCGCCTCAGTCTACAATAGCCATATTTCAGATACTCAGTAGTTGTGACTAGTGGCTATTAAGTTGGACAGCACAGGTCTTAGAACATATCCATCGTCACAGAAAGTTCTGTGGGACAGCACCACCCTAGAGCATAAATGACTAGCTCCGAATTTGTCCTGATTCGGGCAAGTGACTGGACTGACACGCTCCAACGGCAGTGTGTCCAAAGCTCAGGCTGCCTGACGGGAGGTCGTCTTGCAGGCTCTTGGGGCCGTCTACACAGCAGGCCGTCAGTGGCTCTGCGAAAAGGGTGCGCAGGCGCAGCAAATGGATCTGAGTAGGTTTGGGGGAGCACCAGCAGTAACTGTGAAAGGCTCAGGAGCCACAGGCGTGCCAGGGCTGGGCTGTGAGCAAAGCACACGAGTAGCCCGAAGCCACGAGCCAGCGTCCGCTATGGAAATAAATAATGGAAACCCTTTCAGTGCGAACTGTGCTCAAGATGCATCCTAAGAAATCGGCGCCTACCGTCTACACCTAGAGGAGATGCAGTGGTGATACCTGACCTCCCAGTTTACTGCCTCTTTCCCAAATCACCCAGCCTCACCACTGAACTGCAGAATCAAAACGTGCTGTGTGTGTGTGAGCCCTACAAGCAGTGGTACGCGGAAGCTCCAACCATGCCCCTGATCTCCAGCCGCTAGCCCGGGAGGCAGAGACTGTGCGCGGCGTTAGGGCAGCCCCGGCTCTACGTTCTTATTTCGTGCGCTCCAGCTAGTAGCTAACTTGCCGTCTGCTCCTGAGCAGCAGCTTGGAAATGCAGGAGCTGGAGTTTCCGTCTTCGTTTTCCTCCCGCCAGAAGAGTGCCTCCCGCTCCCGGGCTGATCGCTCCGCCTCCTCTTCCCGGGTTGATCGCCCCGCCTCCCCTTCCCGGGCTGACCGCCCCGCCTCCCCTTCCCGGGCTGATCGCCCCCCTCCCCCTCCCCGGCTGATCGCCCCGCCTCCCCCTCCCGGGCTGACCGCCCCGCCTCCCCTTCCCGGGCTGACCGCCCCGCCTCCCCCTCCCGGGCTGACCGCCCCGCCTCCCCTTCCCGGGCTGATCGCCCCCCTCCCCCTCCCCGGCTGATCGCCCCGCCTCCCCCTCCCGGGCTGACCGCCCCGCCTCCCCTTCCCGGGCTGATCGCCCCCCTCCCCCTCCCCGGCTGATCGCCCCGCCTCCCCCTCCCGGGCTGACCGCCCCGCCTCCCCATCCCGGGCTGATCGCCCCCCTCCCCCTCCCCGGCTGATCGCCCCGCCTCCCCCTCCCGGGCTGACCGCCCCGCCTCCCCCTCCCGGGCTGACCGCCCCGCCTCCCCATCCCCGGCTGATCGCCCCGCCTCCCCTTCCCGGGCTGATCGCTCCCCTCCCCCTCCCCGGCTGATCGCCCCGCCTCCCCCTCCCGGGATGACCGCCCCGCCTCCCCTTCCCGGGCTGATCGCCCCGCCTCCCCCTCCCCGGCTGACCGCCCCGCCTCCCCCTCCCGGGCTGACCGCTCCGCCTCCGCCTTCCAGAGTCCTCCTCCGTTAGACGCCGCGGTGGAATGCTGCTTTCGCTCCAAAGCGTAGTGCAGATCTACTGTCTTGTGCAGCATGGTCGTCTTCCCTCCACCACCCTGTAGATGTGTTTGGAGAAAGGCTTTTGGAAAGCAAACAAAAAGCGAGGAGAACGACCCGTCCCTTCGCCGGAATCCCGCAATCACACGGGGGAGCCGCAGTCCTTGTGTGGCTCCAGGCTATGGAGCTGGGCTCCCTGCAGATGAAGGCAGAAACTCATTCTATCCTTGCGGACAAAGCTGGCTGTTTGAGATGAGAGGCTGGGCTGAAGCTGTTCGCTTCCCGCAGAGAACTCCCTGCCAGAGGTGGTAGAAGTCAAAGGGAAACTCTGGATCTTTCCATTACTTAAGTTACCCCGGTCTTCCACTGGCAGCTTCCCAGTCACATATTGAAGTTCATCAAGTGACTCATTTACTTGCTCTGTGTTCCATACAGTCACATAATGGCAGTGTGTCCTGCATATATGAGCACTTAGGCTCATGGCCTATCTAGTAGCATGATTTGTCTTTGAGTGCATTTTTCTTTTTTTTTTTTTTTTAAGATTTTATTCATTTGACAGAGAGAGAGAGGCAGAGGGAGAAGCAGGCTCCCCACTGAGCAAGGAGCCCGATGTGGGGCTCGATCCTAGGACTCTAGGATCATGACCCGAGCCAAAGGCAGATGCTTAACTGACTGAGCCACCCAGGTGCCCCTGAGCGCATTTTTCTAAAGAAGGGGACTCATGACTGTTTAAAATTTCTTTTTAAAAGAAAAAGAGGTGGCTCAGAGGGTTAAGCATCCAACTTAAAAAAAAGGGTGGCTGGGTGGCTCAGAGGGTTAAGCATCCAACTTTGGTTGTGGCTCAGGTCATGATCTCAGGGTCGTGGGATCAAGCCCCAAGTGGAGCCCCTCGAGTCCCTTATCAGGCTTCGAGCTCAACGCAGAGTCTGCTGGAGATTATCTCCCTCTCCCTCCTGCTCTGCTCTTCTCCCTGCTTATGCGTGCTCTCTCTCTAAAATAAAGTCTTTTTTAAAAAGTGTGATTTATAAATAGTAATGCACACAAATCTTAAATGTACAGTTCACTTAGTTTTTATTTACAGATATAGAGCCACATCGTCTAAAATTTTATTATAGGGTGTCTACAGATTAATCATGCTGAGTGACATTATCAAGAAGGCCATGGTGGTACTATTTGCAGATAGGCCCAGGTGCTAATCAGTCAGTGGCTGACCTTCGTGGAGGGAGCCTAGATCAGGGCCTGGTGCTTTACTTAGATTCTATCCGATTTTGCAAAACTTGCCAATTTAAGAATCACCTGGCTGTTTACTCAAGAGGCGGGTCCTGAGGACCCTGCCCTGGAGATTCTGGCTCAGAAGGCCAGGGTCCCGGAATCAGGAGTATGTGTTCTCCACAAGCATCAGGCAGATGTCGTCCTCAGAGTGACCGCATTTAACCCTTACAACCCTATGAGGTGTAGATTTTATTCCTGTTTCACAGATGAGTAAACTGAGGAACTAAGTATAAATCATAAGCTAGTAAGAGATAGACCTGAGATTCTGAGCGTACCTTTTTTTTTTTTTTAAAGAGGTTATTTATTTATTTGACACAGAGAGTGAAAGAGAGAGCAGGAGCAGGGGGAGGGGCAGAGGGAGAACTAGGTTCCCCGCTTAGCAGGGAGCCTGACTCAGGGCTCGATCCCAGGACCCCGGGACCATGACCGGAGCTGAAGGCACAGCTCACCTTTTTTAACTTCTGCTCTCTGCAGCCTCCCGAAAGAGCACGTTCTTATTCCCTGGAGTTTTAGTGGCTCTTGGAATTTGCTGAGTAGAACATATAGATCTTTCCTTTGCTCTCCTGACAACTTAATCATGCAATAGGCAACCACCCAGATTCCATGACAGAGTGAGGACAGGGCTGTGGGTGCCATCAGAGGCCTAGAGTTTCTACCCATGGCTTCGACCCGGAGTTCTCAAAACAGGCATGAGCACCACCTGGGAACTTGTTAGACTTGCAGATTCTCCGCAACTGCCCCCCCCGCCCCCCCTCCCGACTCTAGGCCAGGGGAATCAGGCACTGGAGGTGGGGCCCCGCCTCTGTCTGAATTTACAAGCTCTCCGGGTGTTTCTCATTGAGGCCACAGTTTGAGAACCTCTGGTTTGGGACTCTGCTCTGCTGCCAGGGTTCGCGGTCAGAGGGACACACCACAGACTTGGATCTTCCATCCCTGCCGTTCTTCAGAAGCACTGTTTTGCCTCATGTAGTGACGCGATGAATTCGTTCAAAGGCTATCCTGGATCCAGTGGTCCTGGAGTCATCAGAAGCTCCCAAAAATGTGCTCTTTGCCTGCCCTGCTTTTTCACTTAACACGGCCTTATAGGAATCTTCCACTGATGTTTTGTACTCTAAGCTTTATTTTACTGCCTGAAAAGCGTTCCATTGCATGGATGCTCCGGGCATAGCTTCTGGAAACGTACAGCTTGGCTCCAAATCCCAGCTACTTACCAGCTTCGGAAACTTAGGTGAATCTTGTAATCTCTTCCTGCCTCGTGTCCCTCATCTGTAATGGGCATAATATTGGTACCTACCTGATAAGGTGGTTATAAGGTTACGTTAGATAACGTAAAGTGCGTAGGGTAGTGCTTGACGTGTGGTAAGTGCTAAATAAGTTTAGTTATTGGGGCGCCTGGGTGGCTCAGTTGGTTAAGCGACTGCCTTCGGCTCAGGTCGTGATCCTGGAGTCCTGGGATCGAGTCCCGCATCGGGCTCCCTGCTCGGCAGGGAGCCTGCTTCTCCCTCTGACTCTCCTCCCTCTCATGCTCTCTGTCTCTCATTCTCTCTGTCTCAAATAAATAAATAAAATCTTTAAAAAAAAAAAAAGACACTAAATGCTTATTGGAAGAAGTTGCAAATCTAAAATGATGACATTTTAGTGGCTTTGGACAGTATAACAATCCTGATTAGAAGAGCCTATTGTGTGGTCAATATCCTTCCCTTTAATGATGGTTTTACCTTTATCCATTAAGAAAAACATAACAGGGGCGCCTGAGTGGCTCAGTTGGTTGAGCGACTGCCTTCGGCTCAGGTCATGATCCTGGAGTCCTGGGATCGAGTCCCGCATCAGGCTCCCTGCTCGGCGGGGAGTCTGCTTCTCCCTCTGACCCTCCTCCCTCTCATGCTCTCTGTCTCTCATTCTCTCTGTCTCAAATAAATAAATAAAATCTTTAAAAAAATAAAAAAATAAAAAAATAAAAAAATAAATTAAAAAAAATAAGTTTAGTTACTTTTACTCTTATTTTTTAACCTTTTCTCTGTTTGGGGGTTTAATAGTACGTTGGCCACATTTGAAAAACAACTTCATCACACTGAAAACTTGTGAGCAACTGAAACCCACAGGTTATCATTGGAGCACCTTGGGAGAAATCTTTGAAAGCCCAGCCTGTCAGCAAAACAAATAAAAATAAAAATAAAAATAAATAAGTAAAGAGAAAGCCTAAAAAACCATCTCCTTAAAAAATAAAAACAACAACTGAATTTGCTGGTGGAGAAGAAAGATCACAGTATTGGATTCGACAGCCCGGGGTTCACATCCCAGGTTTGCCCAGTAAAGCCCCATAGTTTACAGGCTGTGTGACCTTGAGCAAATCATGTCACCTCTCAGAACCTGTTTTCCTCACCTGAAAACTCGGATCAGAATGTCTACTGCAGAGTGATTATGAAAATGACAGAAGGACGACTGTGTCAGTCAGCTCGGGATAGCTGAAGCAACAGGTAATTCTGTTTTCACAATTCCGGAGGCTGATGAGTCTAAGAGCACAGTGCCAGGGTGGTTGGTTTCTTGGGTTCTAGGTGGCTGCCATCTTGCCGTGTGCTTATATGACTTCTTCTTTGTGTGTGTGTGGGGAGGATGAGCCCTGGAGCTGGGCCCCACCCTTACATGACCGCCTTTAACCTTCATGACCACCTTGTTGGCCCTGTCTCTAAATACAGATGCATCGAGGGGTAGGGCCTCAACCTCTGAACCGACGGGGTGACAGTGGGGCCGGATTCGATCCATGACCATGGCAGAAGGACAGCCTTACTTAACATCCCGACTGGCACGCAGCAGGTCTGGGCGACGGCCAGCCCCCTTCCCTTCACCTGAGCAGGGCTGGGCAGCATCGTTCAGACTGTCAGAGACTGTCTTTTGTCTTGTGCAAGGACAGGCAGGGCCAGAGTTAGTGGGAGGCAGGGTTCTCCGAAAATTGAGCTCCTCCCTCAGACAGTTCAGAGTTGATTTGTTTAGGGTTGGTTGGTTGGTTTGGGTAGCCCCAGGCACATCTACTTTATATTTTTCTGGAAGATGAAAATTTGATTGTGTTTCACAGCAGTGACACCAGCCGCTCGAAGCACGTGCTTGGTGTCGGCCCCCCACGCGGAGAAGTTTCTGGGCCTTGGCCTCGGCCACCGACAACATGGATGGCGCCTTTGTGCTTCAGTCGTGCAGTTATTTATGGCGGTGCGCTCATACTTTTAGCTGTTCTCATCCCTCAGCTTTTAGGAGTCCTTGGGAAAACATTTTTTTTTTTCTCCGCTTAGCCAAAGCTTATTTGAAGTTGCTGAACATTAAAAAAAAAAAAAAAGGTCACTCTTGTCCATATGGAGGAAGTGGGTTTTTTTTTTTTTTTGTCACCGTCGTTATAATTGGCGAGTGAGATAGGCCTACAGAGAGTGAGGATTAAGGTCGCAGTCTTTCTGAAATTCTAGAGGAGATGTAACCCCGAAATTCTGCACGCCCAGTCCCAGTGGTTGGCGAAAGCCCGGGACGCACAGAGCTTGCAAACGGAGGGATGCTTCTCTGAGCCCCGTTTCCCCGCCTGTGGGCCCCGGGGGAAGGCTTGGGGTCCCTGGAGACCAGGAACTGAGGAATGTGCCCTTGGCTCTTTTGACTCCATGGGGAGCCCAAAGATGCTGGCATTTCGATTAAACACGTTGGGTAATCTTTGGTGCCTAAGGAACTAAGCTGTTTCTGAGTGCTGAACGTAGTTGCTCCCTGAGGCCAGCCTCGAAAAGCTTAGGAATGCTTTCCACTGGGGAAGTTTGGCTAATTGCGTGTGTCAGACATTGAATTACAGTCAGCCTGTGGTTTTCACGCTAAGCCTCGGAGACCTCCTCACTGTTAGGGAATGTGAGCGTGTGCCATGGGCATTCCCTAGGGTAGCACGAGAGGATCTGCAGGCCCGTGGATCCATACTCTGTTAGACTGAGAAGTCTGCCTTCCAAATCCACCCATCCCGTTTGGCCCGGTGATCCTAGTGTTCACACCAACTGCTGGCCTCTTGTCCTCCCTCCTATTAATCCAGCAGCTCCTTGGAGTTGGATGGGAGATGAGCAGGGGAGATGAGTGGGGAGACTGCAACCCCTCAGCTCACACCAGAGGAGGTCCGCGGACTTTGGAGTCAGACAGACCAGGAGTTGGATCCTGAGACCTCGACTTGCAGTGTAATCTTGGGCAAAACATCAGTTTCTCTGAACCCAAGTCTCCTCATCTTTATGAAGGGCAATCATTTCTTCTGCTTCATACAGTTATCGATAGGACCAATGAAGACAGTACCTGTAAGTGTTTAGCCTATGACTGAGACCCAATAAGTGATTGATAAATGTTAGCAATTGTTGAGATCGGGAAAATGAGTGAAATTAATGTATGAATAACTAGTAAGTAATTAGACAGATTTGATCCCACAGGTAATACCGCATTTGTCAGGGATTCGTATAGTGTCTTAAAGTCGTTGAGATAGAAGGACTGGGCTGAGGAAGAGTTTGTTGCTTTGTTTGTAGGGAGAGGGAAGTGGGGAGACTGGAACCCCTCAGCTCCCCCCAGAAAGCTAGTTCTGAATGATACTTGTAACAACACTGCAGGCCTATTGATGGCTTCTTCCTTGGAGCAGGGATGTCCAGTTCAATTGAGGAAGTGTTTAACAGTCCCTTGTGAGGGGCCAGCATTGTACCAAGTGCTGAGGGTAGGGGGATTTTTAAAAAGTGCAAAATGTGAGAGCTAAAAGCCAAGTGTTATAAAAGCTAATTGTTTAGGTTATTCACTCGTGGTTTCGTTTTCCTGGTAAAAGAGTACAGATTTTAATTGTCATTACCTTCCATGGAGAAGTTCTTGAAGATTTTTTTTTAAAGATTTTATTTATTTGACAGAACGAGAGAGCACAAGCAGGGGGAGTGGGAGAGGGAGAAGCAGGCTCCCCGCTGAGCAGGGGGCTTGATCCCAGGACCCCGGGATCATGACCTGAGCCAAAGGCAGATGCTTAACCAACTGAGCCACCCAGGCGCCCCATCTTGAAGATCTTTTTATAATACATATTCTCTACTCATGGTGATAGATGTTGAACTAAGTAAAATATGGGTGGGATGAGGGAATATGGAAGAGATAACCAGAAAACTCAAAGAATATATTTAAAAATTAAAGTTCTAAGATCGCGGGACGCCTACAAGGCTCCATCAGTTAAGCATCTGCCTTCGGCTCAGGTCACGATCCCAGAGTCCTGGGATCGAGTCCCGTATCGGGCTCCTTGCTCAGCAGGGAGCCTGCTTCTCCCTCTCCTCCTGCTCCCCCTGCTTGTGATCCCTCTCTCTCTGTCGAGTAAATAAATAAAATCTTAAAAAAAAAAAAAAGTTCAAAGATCGCTAAATGATAAAAAGACTATTAACTTAAAAGGAAAACTTTCCAGTACATTGGACTGTCATGATGTGAGAATATCCATCAGATGGTAAGCCTTGGTCATCTCTAGACATGGCAAGTGTGTGGGTGTGTGGGTGAATGAAATCCGTGGGTGACCTGAAGAGCTCGTTATTCTCTCTCACTATAATTTCCTTTCCACCCGTAGTTGATAAGCTGGCGTGTGGCCCCTTTTCCTGGTATAGTGGGCTTGTTAGGGACCTACCCCTCACTTGCCTAGACAACCTGTTGGCTGCTGGGCCCCATTAGGGCGGCCAGTGTTCAAGAGCACCGGAACCATTTAAGGGATCTGACCAGTTGTTCCAGTTGTTTTCCTTTCTTTTCTTTGTGTGTGTGTGCGTGTGCGTGTGTGCATGGCTTGCATTGTGGCATCTGCTGGGAGATGCTAATTACAGCAATTAAGTAAAATGAGACTGTAATATTGCTTAGCAACCCAGTTACCTAACGTGTAATTTTACTAATTTGGCAGAATCTGTGTGTTGCAACTGTTTTTGTTTTAATTAAGGATATTAATAATAATGTTTTTGTATGGAACATTTGACGCAGCATTCTCTAACACCTATCCAGAATTAAATTAGTGCATGAACATCCTTTGTGAGACGGGTTTTTTGTTTTTGTTTTTCTCCAAACCAGGCAGGCAGAGGGGCGTATGTGAGGATGCGGAAACTGTGGGCAGTCTAGTACCTTGGTTATTGGTAGAGATACATTTTGCCTGGCCTCCTGAGGGAATGAGGGGATTTCTTACTGCCAAGTTTGCCCACGTCAGACAAAGAATTTGACCTGCAAGTGGGCTTATCCCATAGCCACACTGAGCCTTGTGGAATCCACCTTGAGAGCCACTTTGGACAGTAGAAGTGATTTGAAAACATTTCACCCTTTGTTTTTATCTGGGTGAGGGACCCATTTATAGACAAGTCTTTAAATGTAGGTAGCCTGGATCCATGCTGACCATGAATGTGAAATCTTAAGGACTCACTTTTTTGACAAAATGGTCACCTTCTACTCCCAGACCAAAAAAGAAGGTAACTCTGACTCCCTAAACGACCAAGTCACTGCTGAAAACACTAGTTGCTAAAGATGGATTTGAAGGAAGAAACAGGAAATGGATGTTAGGCTAATCCCATAGAACATCTCATCCCCATTACCTTTCCAGATCACTTTTCGCCAGGAAATGAGCATTTAGTGGATGTAAACCCAAGTTCTTTGGATCTAGCATTAGCTACTGTTTCATGTGGATGGAAGACCCAGGGTGGGAGAGAAGTCGTAGTATCTCATAGCAAGGCATTCATCACAAACTTCTTGGAAAAGAGTCCTCCTTGTATTCTGGCTATTCATTCAGTCATTCATTTCACAAATATTTACTGAGTGCTTGCCATGGGCCTGGAATTGTTCTAGGTTGTACACATACAACAGGGAACAATCAAATAAAAAGTCCTGCCCTGATCAAACTAATGATAACAGTTGCTCATCCTATATATTCTGTTCCAGGTGCTGTTCCACGCAGTATTCACATAACTCATTTCATCCTTAGTAACAACACAATGAGGTAGGCATACGGCTATCCGCAGTTTGCTTTTCAGGAATCTGAGGCATGGAGGATTTAAGTAGCTTGTCAAGGTCACTCAGTTGGCAAAGAGCTCAGTTGGGCTATCCGACTCTGCTCTGTCCCCTCACATCCAAGGCCTCATTCTCCTGCCCCACTCAGGTTATATGGGCCTTTCAGTGGTTCACTTACTCATACACCCAGATAATAGGAAATGTAGAGTCTTGCTAGAGTTTGTGGCTTTGCTTCCAACCATGGGAATGTGCGTTTGAATTCTATAACCAGGGACCAAAGCATGTCCTTGGGCTTCTCACGCAGTTTCATATAAAACTTAGAAACTGGGTGTGAATTGCAGCTTGAAAGCCTGTCCCAGGGTGCCAGTATTTTCTTCCCACTGGGTAAGAAAGATATCTTCTCTTGGGAGACAGCATTCTCTTGGTTGCTGTCACTTAGTCCTGCCACAGATAAGAGATAGATGGTCATATTTTTAAGTCTACACAAATAGCTTAAAATATAAAATAATTGAAACATAAATAATAGCTATTTCAGAGTCCCCCTTGAGACTGCAGATCACAAAAGATCTTTGGGAAGAATCTTGGGAGGAATGTCAGAAGGCTGTTCCTTGTTGAATGGGACAAACTCTGGCAGATGCATTCTCTCCTGATGCCCTACTTTTCTAAATGTGCACATGATAACTTTTTAAAAAATCTTAATGTCCAGCTGACATTCACCTGCTACTTAGTATCCAGAATCCAGCTATGGTGATGTGTTCCCAAATATGGGCTGCAAATGAAGAGCCCACGAGGGGGCCTTTTCACTGCCCCGTGTTTCGTAGCATTTCAGAACAGGTCAGGGGTGTGTGTGTGTGTACTTTCCTTTGCAAAATTGAACTCATTTTTTTTTTTTAAGGTTGTATTTATTTGAGAGAGAGAGAGAGCATGAGCGGGGGGAGAGACAGAGAGCGAGAGGCAGACTTCCCTGCTGAGTAGGGAGCCCGATGTGGGTCTCAATCCCAGGACCCTGGGATCATGACCTGGGCTGAAGGCAGATGCTTAACTGACTGAGCCACCCAGGTGCCCCTGAACTCATATTTTTAAAACATTTTGGAAAATTTGTATTCATGCAGTTATTCAGCCAACAGAATCAGTGAGAGATGCAACGAGTCTCCTTCTCTGAAGAACATCAGGATCTAGTAAGGGAGATGAGGTTGAAATCTTAAATGCTGTGTAGGAGTCCGGAGAAGGGGTGCCTGCCTCGAGGAGATCCTGCTATACTTGGTCTTGAGCTCCAGCAGATGCTGTGCTGCCAACAGCCAGTTTGTTTCCCCCCAGTATTATTACCAAGGAGCCCTCAACTTTGATCCATGAGCAACACAGGACCTTATGGAGTGGTGCCCGGGAACCATTCCTGGCTGCCATTGTAGGCAGCCTCAGCCTTGCTGGAAGAACTCCTTCCTCACCTTAGATCCCCGGAAGCAAATTTTCTGCTCCAGACGGGGTTCTTCCTAGATGGACCAAGGTTCAGGGATGGTGTTGATCAAACCGTAGACTTTCAAGGTGAGAACTCTCTCTACAGTCTCTGGGAAGTCACTGCCCAGCCTTTGCTTGAGCACTTCCCCAGACATGGGGGACATTGGTGGCTGCCCCCTCCCCACTCCCATTCCTCACACAATGTCTTCTCTTTTCCAGACCCAGTATCTCCAAGCAACGTTCCTTCTGAAACAGTTTTGGGTACTTTGCTGTTTTGATCATTGTTTCCTAGCATCATGATATTGTATGGAGCTGTATTTCAGTAGCACTGGTTTCCTTTGAAATTCTCTTGACTTTATAATTTGTACACATTATTCAGAATAGGGATCCGCAGGCTTCATTACACTGCCGAACGGATGCAGGGCACAGAAGGATGAAGAAGCCCTTTCCGAAAACTTGGTGCCTAGGACCGAATGCTGTGTCTTAGGCGTGGTCTGATCAGTACAGGGCAACGCAGGACCAGCACCTGCTTTCATTCCATTAATTCATCTTAAATTCGCGTTAGTGCTCTGAGTCGAGTCAGCCACCAGGTAATTTCCAGTGGTGCTTCTACACTGAGTCTCCCCCATTCTAACTTTGTTGGTGTTGCTTGTTTGGGGCTCTAACTGCAGTACTTAGCAATCTTATGTCTTGATTCTGTATTTCTTCTTCTTACCAGCTTTGGGTCATCTGCTCATGCTCTGCTTCCATTCCTAAATCGGTTGACCCTTCATGTCTCTGGCCACTTAACCAAGGGCTCCTCTAACTGATAAGCTTGGTACCCAACACTTTTTCCTTTTAAGTCCAAATGAATATTAAAGGGAACTGTCAATACGTTTTTTCTGAATATTCACTTCATCTATTCCTTTTCTAGTAATCTGGTTTCTGGATAAAACAGTTGATGTAAGGAAGCCACAGAGGCCCTCGTGAACTCCTATTTCCTCTTTTCCAAAGTAAAAAAAAAAGGTTACTTGAAAAAAATCCATTACTGAATTTGGCCTGGGAACAAGGTCAAAGAATCTACTTTATTCTGTGTTCTGAAAATCAGGATATAATTTTCACTTTTCCAGTCTTGGAACCTCTGACTTGTTCTCCCTGATTTCCCAAAGATCCCCCACCCCCACCCCACCCCGAGTTTCACTTCTGTAGCCTCTAAGCCCTTCTGGTACGTTGGTGTGTAATTTTCCCAGCAAGGACTTGAGTTCATTTAAAACATCCGGCTGCTCTCTTCCAAATGCCATTCCCTTCTCGGCTTCCACTGCACTTTACTCAGGCTCACATCTCAAAAACATTCTTTTCATTAAAGCAGCAAAGCAAGAAGTTTCAAGTCATCTTCTCTCAGCCATCCATCAATAACACTTTTGGCCTGGAGAGGCCAGCTGCCTCTTCCTTATCTTCGCACACCACAGACATCTAAACATAG